AGAGAATTTGACCTAAAAGCTCCTGCTGAACACATTCATGTCCATTAGTAATATTGACAGTTATATTTCTGTGAAGGTTAGTGACCTCACATGAAAATGCTGTTAGTGTGATAAAAACAAAAGAACTGATGTATACTTTGATAGAAAATAAACAGAGCAGTCACCTTAATTGGAGTCATGTGACTTCATGCATTTACCAGGACTCTGTGATCTGACTCACTGTTGTGTTTCTCCTCTGCAGAGGGATGGCTGAAAACCATCAGAGGTTTGTTCCACATTGGCACAGGAAACAATGAAGACTCCGCCACTCCACTTTCTCTTCTTCCAAAGTAACTCTGTTTACTGCAGTCAGTATGAGTTATCTGAAGCTTTTGGTTGATTGTTGCTTTGATTATCAGAGAAACTACTGTTTGATTTCTTCATTCAACCATTTCTATTTACACTCTGTAGACAGAAATTGTCTTCTGTGGTCTGTGCACTACATTTTGGACTGGCTGTATTCTCTTGACAAGAAGAACTTGTTACTTTAACTTATCCAAAACATTAATTTGCCTTTATAGGCTATAGTGTGAGTGTGTGTGAACAGATAAAAATGCTCAGATTAGAGCGCTGCAGAAATGTGTGTGACTGGTAGAATAATGACTTGTAGTAGAAAGCTATTTAATGCTCAACTTGAATATAGGAAGGTTCTGTATAAGTACCAGTTCACTATGCATAAATGCACAGGAAAGCTCAGATGTCCAAGTTTTCCAACAGCACTTGAACAAAGCCTGCGCAGTCAGAGTCTTAAAAGAGGATTTTTAAAAGAAAGAAAAGTCAGTAGATAATAATTGATACTAAAAAGACCAACAGCGCCTCCTTCAACTGACACATCACCACAGGCAGGCACACAGCCCCGCCCCTCACTAGCAGCTAAACAGTGAGGTTTCAGCAGTGAGTAAAGCTCCTGTTTTAATAGTGTTGAAATATTGAAGAGTTAACATAAATGTTAACCTGGCTGCTCATTAGCAATTACCTGATAGCCACTTTATCTGTCTGTTTTGTTAAGGTAGTGGCTATGGCTACTAAATTAGATCATTTTTAATAACAATATACTATATAATGTTAAAACTGCACACAAATATAATGTAACCTGTGTGTGTCTGGTAACCCGTGCACACATTTTTTACCAATCTGTAAGTGAAAGAAAAGAATGTCACAAATATTTGTAGACATTTGTATCCACAGAAAACCTTTTAGCAGTTAGTCATCACATCTGTGTAAAATCTGTTTGAGTCATTCATGTTTAATTAGTTGGTGATGTGTCAATTTTTAATAATAGTTACACAAAAATCACTGCACATGAGTTGTATGGGTCGGTTTTGCACATTTGTTACTAGCCTAATTCCTCTCTGTATTGCTCTTCATCCCCAAAGCAGCCTAACGTTTTGTGCTTAAGTGTAAGAAATATTCTATAAGATCGAGAAAACAAAAACTGATTGAAAGACTAAAGTGCTTCATGTTAGGGTTAAAAGACAAACGGGATAATTAACAAAGACACTAACAACACAAACTGTGCACATTAATTTATAAAATTTATATAAAAAACTGCGAATGGGGAAAAAATGGCAATGAATTGAACCATTAAATGTTAGACAAGGGTCATATAATTGGCTATTCATTCGAGGCTATGCTCCTTTTTAATCAGTGGAGTAGATATGGACATTGTTAAAAAAAAAAAAAAGGTCAATGACTCTAAATGAAGTACTATGTAGCTGTCACGGTTCTGGGTCCGTTGGACCCAGTATTTTGAGTTTATTATGTTTTGGATTAATTTTGCATCATGGATTGTTTTCTTGTTCTCTTGTTGTGCTTGTGATGATTATTATTTGAGTTTCATGTTTCTGTTATCCATGTTTTAGGAATTGTGGTTTCATGCATAGTTCAGTTCATTTTTCAGTTAGAAAAAGCATGAAACTTGTTATCAGAGGTAGAGATTCCTAACAATGAGTTTTGCACTTTCATTTGATAACACATACTGTTTATGTATATTTAACATCACATGCTGACACAAAGGATTATGGTATAACTATAATTAACACAGCTTGTGTAGTCTTTAAATAGATGAGTGTTTTTAAGAGCACATCATTTTTTCTAATTCAGCAGTTAATATAAGCACTGTATGTTTATTTCAAAGATAATAATTAAAAACACTCCTTGTAATTCATTAAAATCAGATCAACTTTTATTTTCAAAGGTAAATAAAGTATATCAGCCAACATACTGGACAATGTTCTGCTGAACAACACACATATTACCAATATTGTAGCTGGTGTTATCTGGTAAGATGGTGTTGAGTTTTTTGGTCTAAATAACCCAAAATGTGATGTCCACATATGTGGACGTCAGGTCCAAGGAGGTTTGTTTGTCCGTCTAGGCATTACTGCTTGAATTACTGTCATGAATTTAGGTCAGGGGTCCCCAACTCCAGGCCTCGAGGGCCAGTGTCCTGCAGGTTTTAGATCTCACCCTGGGTCTACACACCTGAATCAAATGATTAGTTCATTACCAGGCCTCTGGAGAACTGCAAAACATGTTGAGGAGGTAATTTAGCCATTCGAATTAGCTGTGTTCGATCAAAGACACATTTAAAAACTGCAGGACACTGGCCCTCGAGGCTTGGAGTTTGGGACCCCTGATTTAGGTGATCCAAATACAATTTCCTGAAGAAAGTGTTTAACATTGTCCAAACTTCCCTCAAGTACAGTGGCTATCGATGTGGGTTGGAGATGCAATGACCTTGAACCTGCAGGTGACCACACCATCTGTGACGAAGGGCTCATCTCTTCTTTTTGCTATAGATTTCCTGCATGGAAACAATTGCATTCTTTACAAACTAAACTTGCTCTACCCATTTCATTTATCTGCGACCGGGTCGCGGGGACAGCAGTCTAAGCAGAAAACTTCAGACCTCCCTCTCCAGCTTATCCATGGTAACTCCTTCAGGTCCTGGGTCTGATCGAGGGCCTCCTCCCGGTGGTACACGGCCAGTACACCTCACCAGGGAGACGCCCAGAAGGAATCCTTGTCAGATGCCAGAACCACCTTAGCCAGGTCAGGAATCAGGATGAGGAAGAAATTAGGTCAGATCAGTGCAGGTTTTCGCACAGTACAATGTACTGTGGTATGTTGTATAATTTATGTACACCTTCTCCATCCCATTTCATCTGTCTGTTTTCTGTGCCACGTTTTTTTTCTGTTTAAATGGAAACACAAAGACGTACTTTTGTTTATATTTAGTGTATAAAGTGTATATCTATTTTCTTACTGTTCTTATATCTATTTGGTTTTTTGCACTGATGTAATTGGAGCCTCGTAGTCTCGTCTCTCTATATACTATACTGTATATAGCGGAAATGACAGATGTTTACTTTGACTTTTTTTTTTAATCTTTTGTACAGAGCAGCATCCCTTTTGTCACAGATATGTTTATTAATATACATTGGATGTCCCTGGGCCCACAAAGTAGGCTTAACTAGGAAAAACAGCAGCTTAAAAAGGATTTTTGACTGAGGATAATGGTGTCAGACTTTCCCATTTTAATGCAGACATTTAAAGCTATTGCAAAGCTTGTTGACTTTGGGAATGATGCTGTTCAGCGGTGGCTGCAGTTCCCTGGCAGAGAGGGCTCTGTTCCTGATGGAAGAGATGAAGGAACAACCTGTTAGTCCATCAAATGTGTGTAGTAGCACTGAGACAGAGACGAGAGTCTCAGTCTGCAGCTGTGACTTAATGTCATGGTCCTGAGTCTGAGGACTCAGTGTTTTTGTCATGGTCCTGAGTCTGAGGACTCAGTGTTTTGTGTTTCCTTATGCTTTTGTTCATTCCGAGTGTGTATTCTGTTGTGATTTTGCCATTTGTTAGGTTTCTGTTCTTTGCCTGCCTGCTCCCACTTCTCTGTGTTCCCTCTGTCTGTCCATGGTGTTATTGTGTCTGCTCATGAGTCTGCCTGTCAAGTTCAGTGTCCTGTCTGATTCTCTGTGTCTGTTAGTTTCCTGTTTTATTCTGAAAGTTCATGTCTCATGTCAGTGTGTTCAGTTTTACCTCTCCCCTGTCTCGTTAGCCTTATTGCTCCCAGCTGTGTCTCCCTCCTGTGGCCCATTCCCTGATTACTCCCCGTGTATTTAAGCCCTGTGTTTTCCTGTGCTCTCTGTCGCGTCGTCTGTTTAGTTCCATGTCAGTCTGCATTATTCTGTTACCTGGTATTCATTCTGCGTCTCTCTGCCATCTTTCTTTGTGCATTTCGCTCCTCCTCCCGTGAGTGTTTGGTTTAAGTTTTGTTCTTTAGTTTTCCCAGTTTAGGTTTGTTTACTCCCCGCTCTGCTCTTCCTGTTTTGTCACCTTCTCACCGCTGTAAATAAACACTCACTCGCACCCCAGTCGGTACCTGCATTTTGGATCCTTTTTTCAATACACCACACGACTGCTGTGCAGCCGTGACACTTAAGGCATAATACCTGTCCGGGTTGCATGTGTAAACTTTGTGAGAAAGCCATCGCTCAGGGAAATGTGTAAAAGCTGGTGAGCCTTTAGAACAAGTGTAGCTTTTGTGTGGCAATCAAAACAAAATGTGAATATTAAATCAAAATGCCTGACTTTCATAAAAATGTGTTTCTCTCAAGTCTCTTTTTTTCTAATGAAAATGAGCTACATTCAAGTCAAAATTATTACAAAATAAATGAATAAAGTTGTATTTTTTGTTTAGTTTTTGTGTGTTTGAAGTCTCCTCTTTGATGTGTTGACTATGCGTGTACAATAGAAGGACAGCCTTTCTAAGAGGGGGGAACAGCAGGGGGTAATTACGGAAGCAGAAAGATGTGTAGTTCTGATTAAATCAGCTCTTCCTCACACAGAGTGATAAAACTAAGCTCAAGGATTCTGAGACAAAGCACATAAATGTTGAAAAACCATTAAAAATACTGGTCACTTCAAAAAACAAAACAAGAAGCTTTTTACAGCTGACGCAGGAAGTTATTTTTATAAAAGTCACTTTGGTTTTCAAAGTAGGAGAGTATCACAGTTTCAGTATCGTTATCCAAACTGTGACTGAAGCAAGAGCACGAGTCTCTGTTTAAAAGGTTGAGTATGAAGGTAAAAAGAAATATACAGCACGTTGATGTGCTGATATGTGAGATCTGCCAGAAGCAGGAGGCTCGGTCAAACTTCATCAGAAGATTGGACATTTTCATAGTTCACTGCTCCATCATCAACCTCATCTTTGCACATCTGTGAAATACAGAACAATGAACGTCATTAAAACTGTAACTGCATTTTGCATTTAGCACAATCAGACTAATAAGCCGACAAAGTAAAGATTTTCTTTTATCCTGATGGGTTCTACTTGTTCATGAACCAGAAAATACAGTTTTATCCACAATTCAGTGTGATCGCCTATTTATTGTGTATACTTTGTCCGAAAAAAGTTAACAAACTCACCGTGTTTTCCTCCATCTGTGCTTTTTTCCCTAAAAGGACCAAGTAAGGAGTCAACTTTAGCTTCCACAAACAAAATCTTGTTCATATATGATTATTCTCACCAACTCTTATCCAGATGTTGACGATCACAACAGCAGCATTAAGTGCTGCTAAACCCAGAGCCACAATGATGAGCCTGTACAAGGACCAGCCTGGGAAGATAAAGAAAACACGAAAAGCATATTTTAAATTTATTTTTCTTTGCAAAACACACAACACAAACCTCAAACTTTTCATTCTGAAATTCAGAAAGCGGAGGAAAAATGATACAGAGGACAAGTTGGCATTACTTTGTAATTTTCTTGAACCTTCCATGCTTTCCAACTCTTTTGTCCCCAGACCTGCTCTTACTGTATTTCCAATTGTGATTTCCAATTTAACTATTGTTGTTGTAATTGTTTGTTTGTTTGTTTGTTTGTTCACCTAAATGAAAAAAGAAGATTCAGTGGACCTTTCACTAATAAATTGTCTGTATAAATTGTCTGTCAGTTAAAACTTTAAGTTGTTAAAATAAGCAAATAATGTGAAGTTACTTTCAAAATTTTATCATAATCATTAAAATCTCTCCTCCTTTCTTACCTGATGAATGAGGGCTGAAGGTAAAAAGCTGCTCTTTGCCATCTTCTGTTGTTACGTTACACTTAAAGTCAGAGTTAGATATGTGACTGTATAAAGAATTTACAAAAGTAACAGCAGCAGAGCAGGACGACTGTAATGTTTTTATGTTTGAGTAATCTCTATTCAGACCTTCACTGTAATGGATCCACTTCACTTTGTGTTCACAATGTCCATGTACCTGCACAGAGCAGTTTAAAGTCACCTGATCCCTGCTCTTCTGTTCAGTCACTGGTGAAGATAAACGCAAGAAGAATTAAAAAGTATGAATACATTTCTTTTCACTAAATGTAATGTTTCATGATGTTACTCTAACAACACAGTTTGAACTCCAACATATTGTGGTGTAAATACTCACTGATGACATCAGACAGATAAACCACAGCATCTGGACCTTGCTGTTTCCCTGGATTACCTCTAAACTGTCTGCAGGTGTAACGACCAACATCCTCAGCTGTGACCTTCTTTATAACCAGTGAACATTCTGCTGTAACACTCAGTCTGTCTGATTTGACTGTTTCTTTGATCTGTCCAAGATTAACCAGCTCTACTGCTGCTTTTCCTCTTGAATCAGTGAAGAGCCAGGTGGTAGTGTCACAGCTGTGATGGTTTTTGATCATGTTTTCACAAGGCAAAGTGACTTTATCTCCATCTCTGACAGTGAAGGAGAGTGAAAGATCTCCACTTAGATCTCCTGAAAATATAACAGAGAGAAAAAACAATACTTGTCTGAACGGAGACGATTTACATTCTTATTACAAAAGAACTAACAAAAAACTTGATTTGGGTTGTCAAACAAAAGCACAGCTGTCTTGGATTTCAAAATAAAGTAAAACTCAAAAGAAGAAAAAAATCTCTTACATGTTACATGTTACCTTCAAACTGAAGCACAAATATAAAAAAAA